GAGCTTTTGTTTCTATAGTTCCCACTTGACCATACCAACAGTTTTCACACCAAAGGAGGGTAATTGCGAATATTTGTGGGAGGAATATTACTAAAAGAGGGAAAGCTAAGCCCTGAGGGGATGATAACGCCATAACTTTTACTTATGATAAAAATTCTTCAAATTTTGACAAGCATAAAATTTTCCAAAACTTAGAGACAGAACAGAGTTCTTAATTTTATAGCTCCAATGAATTGACACATGGGAGTGTGTCAAAAAGGGGGAGTTGAGTCCAAACATCAAACAATGGTTTTATGAACATCTTATGACGTTATTTGTGTGTTTAATAATTTAGCTATGGTAAAACTTAAGCTTATAATGTGTTAGACTTAGAAATGGTTTATTAATTTTTGATTTCTTTTACACACACATAGATTATGATTAGAATAAGTCCCTGGGTCAAAGAGTCCTGAACATAATATTTGAAACCAAATTTGAATCATTAGAACAACAATAGATAACAATATTAGATTATCAAGGCTAGGGAGAGAGGTGTTTTGGTTTTCTGTCTCTTGCAGATAAAGGAACAGACACCAGACGGGGACATGGAGATATGCGGACCCTTCACAGCAGAGACAGATGTAGGGACTGCCGAGACATCAACTGGGGTCAAGTGTCATGGCGTTTGGGCTCCTGGAGAAGATGGATCCCAGAAACACAGCAATAACCATGAAGGGGTTGGCGAAAACCAGGAACACCAGACCAACGAGGTTCGAGAGGCTCTTGGTAAAAAGGGGGACACGGCGGTGATCCCAAAACACACAGATCTTTGTTTGAAATCGGGGCAGAATAATCCCCAGAACTGTGCAATGACTAAAGGGTGGTCTAACCCCGGAGGTCGAAGAAAGAGGCTGAGAATCACCCAACTGGAAGACACTGGTAGCTGCAGCAATAAAAATAAAGGTTAAAAGCTCCTTAGACAGAGGTTCTAGTCTAAGTACATTTGAAAGGTATAAGGTGGCATTAAAATGGGAGTGGAAAACTGGAGCACCAAAATAAAGTTGTGGGAGAATTGGGGAGTGATGGGAGTGTCATCTGTAACTGCTGTTATGGTTGTAAATCTAACTTTGCTTGCATCTGAACTGCGTGAACACAGAGGTCATCCCACATATGGTCCACCCGTTAAAGGGGGACAGAGGGCCTCAGGACCAAGAAGAACTGGACCTTGCAATGCTGGAGTGTACGTTATAAGTGATCTCTTTTTAAGAGATCAAAAGGGGGAATTATTAGATTATTCTGTTATTATAGGTTACCTTATATATGTAATCAAAGTAGTTGAATTAGAATACTGCTGTAGATCATATTATACCCTTTAATATAGAGCGTGTGATCTGTATGTAGTTTAGTTCTCATTATACTTTTGAGTTAACAGAACATATTCACATATTAGTTCATTAGATAAATGTGCATCACTCTGTATCCTTGATCTGCTGGGAATGTGTTACACTGTTTTCTTGACATGCTCTATTGTTGAATCATAAAAAGAAGGTTGTAAGCAGGAGACTTGGTGTCTAAGACAGGGGAGATAGACCACATTCCATACCCCCACCTTACAGAAAGCAGAGAAACAACTGCCGAGGTCATAACTTAGACGCCGTAAGGGAGAAAAGAATGTGAATGTTTAGGCTTTTACAACTAGGTGGGGGCCGCTAGGAGCTATAAGAGGCTGTGTAACCCGTCACCATTTTGAGACTGCTGTGACCCTCTTCAGGCATGTCTCCCCATCATGATGGTTCTAAATGCTCTTTGTGTTGAATTGTATGGAAATAAATGATTGTTGATTGAGCATTTATACACCGAGTATTGTCCTTCCTTCAGCCCAAAGATCAAAAGAATTGGGAGATTTCAACACCATCTTCACCACACCAGGGCCTGTGGCTCTGGCCGAGCCCAACTTCACCACACCAGGCCCTGTGCTGGTGCCTGAGCCCATCTTCAAAAAGCCAGAGCCTGTGCTGCTGGTTTAATGCTTATCTGAGTCTTTGGGTTAGGGTATTAGGCAAGTATGCAGGTACCGTTAACTCTGTAGTTCAATTGTAGGGTTGTGTTCGAAACTTCAGGTACTGGCCACCTCATCACTTGATTCCATAAATTGACACATTGTGCTGGCACCAGCAGCTTACAGCCATACCACCCTGAGCACGCCTGACTTCGTCTGACCTCGGAAGCTACGCAGGGCTTGTCTTGGTTAGTACTTGGATGGGAGACTGCCTGGGAATACCAGGTGCTGTAAGCCTTTACTTTTCATGTCATTGAACTGCTTTTGATCCAGAGAAGGGGCGTATTGAAAGACTCAAAGCAGCTGCCCATTAATGAGGGCACATTAACGACGGCCTGTGGCTCTGGCTGAGGCCACCTACACCTCACCAGGGCCTGTGCTTCTGGCCGAGGTCATCTATACAACCCCAGGGCCTGATTTGCCGGCTAAGGTCACCTACACCAAACCAGGGCCTGTACTGCTGGCTGAGGCCAACTACACCACACCAGGCCCTGTGCTGGTGCATGAGGCCATCTTCACTACACCAGGGCCTGTGCTGGTGGTCGAGGCCTTTTTCACCACACCAGGGCCTGTGGCTCTGGCTGAGGCCATCTACACCACACCTGGGCCTTAGTTGCCGGCTTAGGCCACCTACACAACACCAGGGCCTGTGGCTCTGGCTGAGGCCATCTACATCACACCAGGGCCTGAGTTCCCAGCTGAGGCCACCTACACCACACCAGGGCCTGTATTTCTGTCCGAGGCCATCTACACAACCCTAGGGCCTGAGTTGCCGGCTGAGGTCACCTACACCACACCAGGGCCTGAGTTGCCGGCTGAGACCACCTACACCACACCAGGGCCTGTGGCTCTGGCTGAGGCCATCTACACCACACCAGGGCCTTAGTTGCTGGGTGAGGCATATTACACAACATCAGGGCCTGGTGCCCCTCAGGACACAGAAGCTGGAGGATGTTTGGTCATTTGTTCTGACACAAGCTGTTGGGGAATTCTATATAATTCTAATATTTTTAGCCAGTTTATGAAAGAGTTTCCAAAACCAAATTTGCGTAAAGTTTCAAATAAAAATTTCCAGTTAACTCTGTCAAACTCTTTTTCGGGATCTAGAGACAATATTGTAGTTTCAATGTTTTCACTTCATGAGTAGTCTATTAAATCAAGCAATCTACGTATATTTGTTGACGAGTGCCTGCCTTTTATGAAACCAGTCTGGTCAGTTAGAATTAAAAGGGGGGTTATCTTCTCTAATCTTTCTGAGAGAGCTTCGCAGATTATTTTGAGGTCTACATTAATAAGGGATTTTGGACGATAGCTTGAGGGAAATCAGGAGTCTTTGCCTGGTTTTAGCAGGAGACTAATATTGGCAGAATTCATATTTGGTGGTAGTCTGCCATTTTCCTTGACTTCCTGCAACATTCTGTGGAATACTGGTGCCAGAACTGTCCAGAATTCTTTGTAGAATTCTGCAGGAAAACTGTCTGGACCTGGAGCGTTATTATTGGGCATACTTATCAGGGCTTCTGGAGTTCCCCTGGTGTCAGTAGCAAATCCAGTGCCATTGCTTGACGGTCTAATAATTTTGGAAGAGTTACGTTGCCAAGAAACTGGTCAATTTCATTTTTAGACGGGTTCATTTGTGGTGACTATAAAGTTTCATAGAAATCCCTAAAAATGTTGTTTATTCTTTCAGGTTCATATATTGTGTTACCAGATAAATCTTTAACAGCACATATAGTTGTTTTTTCTTTATTTATTTTTAACTGGTTAGCTAGAAATCAACCGGATTTGTTACTGTTCAAAGTTCTGCAAGCAGTCTTTGAACTAGGAAATGATTTTTTCTTTTTTATTAATAATTTCAATTCTAGTTTTGTCTTGCATATTTTGTTTGGTATTTCCTGATATTGTTTCCTGATATATTCCAATATACTGTTTGATTATATTTGTGGACTGACAATTACGCTGAGTTCCTGTTGTGTTGAGCCTTTTTTCATATTCTTAAATTCTTGTTTTAATAGTCTAAAGTTGTGGACTGTGCACACTGGCTGTGTATTTTTGTGATGTAACCAAACCTTTTCTGTCCCTCTCAAAAAGCCCAAGGAATCACAAGAACAAAGACTTTTTTTCTTAGCTGCAGACTTCCTAATGTACAGCCTCAACAAGATATTTTGTGGACTGGAGAAGTATGAAGGTGATACAACTCAGCAGACTACACCTGATTAAACAGATTAATTTGTGCAAAAGAAGAATGCTTTTTAGCTTTAGCACCAAAAATGTGTCCTTTTTCCCCCCCAATAGGCCTAGAGTGAGAAGTTTCCTAAAAATTCAAACCGCAATGTCCTGTCCTCATGTTCCACATACATTTATATTCATATTTCAACTGGCTAATCCCATGAAACTCCACAAATTTAGCTTTCTTTTACTTTGCCATGTGGTGAGGGTCCTGTGACCAGGAGTCAAAATTTGGGATCAGGTATGCAGTCACAGGCAGCTTGCAGCCCCACCTACCAGATTGCCTGCTGTTGTGTTGACTGAGAACTGCAGCAGACAAAGAATGAAAAAGCATGGATTCCCTGGGCCAAAGGCCCGCACAGTGGGCTTTGCACTCCCTGACTGGCCTAGAGAGAAAGGAATGGCTCAGTCAGCAAGCCAAGGCCACTGAAGCGATGAAAAGATAATTCAACACCCCCACCCCCACCCCCCCAGCTCCTGGACCTCATGCAGCGTCAAACCATTTGTGAGCAGTGACAGAGCCAGATTGGGCCGAAAGGATATGAGTGGGAAACTTCAAAACCTGCTCATATTTCTGTGGATGTGAAAGGATTTGTATAACACATTCAGTTTTGATGGACTTTCCCATGTTCAATCCAGACAACCCTTTTTGTTGACACGTTCAAATAATGAATCTGTTATGTGTATGGTCCCTTTTTCCCTCCTGCTCATGAGTTCTGTTTCTAGTTGTCAGGTAGGGATGCTGTGCAGACCACTCCATCGTCTGTCCCAGGCTTATGGAGAACCGCTCACTTGCTGGCTGCCAGGAACCAGGGTGAGTAGTTCTCCCTCTCACAGAACAACTGTTTGCTTTTGTAGGTGAGGGTTTTATTAACTACATAATCTGCTACAAACTAGTTTTAATTTAACAGTTTCCAGAGGACTTTCAATCATTGTAATTGTCACTGAGGCCTCATTTAAAACTGTATCAGTTTCTTATAACTTGCCAAAGCTGTGGGTGCTCAGTGAATGTATTTGGTAGGAATATAAAAAATGTTCAACTTAAGGGAAAACTGTAAATCTTCCCTCCTGCCATTAGTGCATGTAAAACAGATTTTACTTTCTGTCTTCCTACATGAGACGTTGTATTTTCTAAAGTGAAAAATGAATTTTAATTAAGTTTTATTTATATAGTGGCAATTCACAACAACAGTTGCCTCGGTGCACTTTATACTGTAAGGTAAAGACCCCACAATATAAAACAAATGGTGTTGATTGGATTATTCACATTACATTATTGATCTGTTTCAGGTGCTGAAATGGAACATATATTTGTCATTTTTTTAATGTTTAGTAAGGCCTTTTCAGTTGGAGCTCAATTCAATGGATACAACTGTGATGCAAATTTTCACAGCCGCTTCCCTGGTGAGGACTTAAAGACTTTTGTTTTGTGAATAACTGAATAGAAATTATGTTAACATTCTAAAAATGTGAAAAAAATTCTTTTGGACTACCTACATGTTCCAAAGATGAGGTGATAAGTTTTTTGGACACCAGTATTATGACATACAAAACTAAATGTTACAGACTGTAATCCCAGAAGCTAAATCTTTTTTTTTTCTTTTTTTTGGGGGGGGGGGGGGGGGGGGGAGAGAGCGAGAGAGAGAGAAATGTACTATTGTAAAATACACAATTTATGTACATATCATTAGATTTTTTGGCTTCTTTTCCAGCTGAGAGAGATATCAGTGTATACTGTGGGGTCCAGACCATTACCCTCAAGATCAATTTTTGCCCTGTTCTCTTCTCTGGCTACACTGACACCGACCTAGCCCTTAATGGTCGCCATGGAGATGCCCACTGCAGAGGCTTTATCAATAACAACACCTTCCCCACTGTTGTAATCTTTAGCATCAGCCTGGCAACACTTGAGTCCTGTGGTAATTCTTTGGTGGTAAGAAAAACATTTTCTTTTTTGTATTAACTGCTCTTACTAAATTACACACACACACACACACACACACACACACACACACACACACACACACACACACACACACACACATATATATATATATATATATATATAGAGAGAGAGAGAGAGAGAGAGAGAGAGAGAGAGATATGTACTTCAATCAAGCTTTTCTTGATCTTGAGAACTTTTCTTTTTATCCTGCACAATGTCCAACCCTTCTTATCTTAGTAAAAGAGCTGGAGCAGGAATTTTACTCACACTGATGTTGCTTACAGGTGTTAACTGCTCAAGGACCCAATGCTTATGGGAACCTGTCCCTGGTGCAGATTGGAAACATATCAGGGTATATTGATACACCAGACCCTCCAACCATCATCAGCTACCTGCCAGGTCTGCTGTATAAGTTTAGCTGCAGCTACCCATTGGAATACCTAGTCAACAATACACAGCTGGCCTCGTAAGTCTCACTCATACCTTTAAGCTTGTTTGATACCGTGATCCTATATACATGTAAGTTTCAATCATTATATCAATTGGCAGACAAAAAAAGAAGCAGTTTAATAATAAGTTAATAATAACAATTAAAAAAAAATAACAACAATATTAATAAAAGCAATACTAATAATAATAATGAAAATTTATAATATAAAGTTATTAAGTTCCACACAATACAACAGAATTTTTTTTTGTTGTTGTTTTCATGAAATACAACCCAAACACAGTTTGTTACATATTTTCAGATTTTAGGTCCTCGACCCCACAAAAAGTCCAATTCAGATTACATATATTAACTTCTAAAAGGAGATATTGGAAATGTTTGGTCAGGAAAGTGTATATGTTAACCTGAAAGAGTGACGTATAGGCATGGTTTTAAAGACAAGGATTCCTCAATGTTATGTAAATTTTAATATAAAAATGTAATTTTAAAATACTGATGCTACCATAATTACTGTTAACTTTCATAATGTTTTAGGTACTTACTTCTTTTTTCCTTTATCTTGACTGTAGGTCATCAGCTGCAATCTCAGTGAAGGAAAGCAATGGCACTTTCATTAGCACATTGAATCTCCTGCTTTATAATGTAAGTTCACAACAGTGAGTTATAAATGTTCATTTGTGTTTTACAGGTGATCTTAGTCTGTTGCACCAAAGATAAAGCCATACTTGTATGCATAAAGTGAACATAAAGAAACTCTGCATCTATGTAAAGTTGATCTCTACCTCTTACAGATGTATGCATCAATTGTCCATGTACAAAAGAAGAATGATGCCAGATTCCCAGAAATTGTTGTTATACAGTTGATGTAAAAAGCAAATTATTGCTAATACTGTAATTATACAAACGTATACTAAATTTACTCTTACTCTTACCCTAAATCCACTTGAATTAAACACTAGGGCTACATCGAATTATTTAGAAAATAAATGTCTAAAAAGCAAATAAATCACTGTCAGTTGGGTGGACGCGAAGAGCCATGTAATATCACATCTATGCTTAAATGACAATTTGCTTTTTATACAGGACTCATCATATATTCAGCAGTTGTCCATCCCAATGGCAGGACTGACCCTGAAGACACGCATATTTGCAGCTGTAAAAGCCACTAATCTGGATAGAAGGTATTCAGTCACAATGTAGCCTTTCAGCCTAAATATGCCACCCACACGATGACTCATTAAACTATGATACATGATGACTTTCATCTGTGCATAAAAGCACTGAATATGTTAAAATAATACATTGACATTATTCATTGTAAATGAACTGATTCTTATATAGTATTTTTCTAGTTTAGCGCTCAAACCTCCTTATACAACATGCCTCATTCACCGTCTAATGTTCACACTTCAATGACTGTACTGTAGAGCAACTTGGGGTTCAGTGTTCTGCCTTCTGATTGGTAGATGACCTTCTCTACCTCCTGAGCAACAGACGTCCAGCTTACATTACCTAGTATTCTTAAGTGTTCTCATATCAAAGTACTAATCAGGCCCACCTGTGCTTAGCTTCTGTCTTCAGATGAGATACATGACCCCCCCCCCCTCACGCACACACACACGCATGCATGTTGGGTTAACTGATAATTCTGTTTTGGGCTCTGAAAGCTAGGATAGGCTCCAGCACCCTGTGACCCTTAACTGTATAAACAGCTAAGAAAATGGTCTCTCGGCATAAAATAAAAGGCTACATTTATGTTATTTCTAACATAGATGTAAATGTAATTTCTAATTTTCATGTTCGTTTATAGTCAGTGTTGAGGAGTAAACCTACGCATACGGATCAGTATTTAAGGTTTGACTCTCATCGTCCACTGGAGCATAAACAACATAGAGCCAACACCATCCCCGCAGACACAGTGGCCAGGGAAGCAGAAGAACATCACATCAAGAAGGCCCTGAGGAAATGTGGTTATCCCAGCTGGACATTTGTCAAAGCTGGGAAGGCGCCTAAAGAAAGCTCCAGCCGATCAAGGAGAGAAGGACAACTGCTGACTAAGCGAAAGCCTGTAGTTATCCCATACATGTCAGGAGTATCGAAATACTTGAGACGCATTTTCTAAACACTGCGTCTCTGTGGCTTTTAAACCGCAAAACACGCTGCGCCAAAAATTGGTCCACCCCAAGGATGGGGTCCCCCAGAACAGAGTAACTAAGGCTACGTTCACACTGCAGGTGAAATCGCATCAAATCCGACTTTTCTGACCCTATGCAACCCATGGTATGACAGCGTGAACAGCACAAATCCGATATTTTCAAATCCAACCTGGGTCACTTTCGTATGTGGTACTGAATCCGATACACAACTGATGTTTGAGAAAGCGACTGCTGTTTGAATGGTCATGTTGCATTAAATCCGTCTTTTACGTTGCTGACACAAGACAGACGCCAATTATCAACGCCGGTGAAGCACCCCAGAAGACGTGAACGCTTCCTGGCCATCCAGTGTAGATGTTAGTGAAACTGTTGAGAAGACAACGCTGGACAAACGTGAACATTTTATTTGTACTGTATAATCTGCAGATTCTGACAGAAATCTGCAACTATCCTTTGAAGCACCACTCCTCTCTTAAACAGCAATAAGGATAATTATTAAGCCATATGAAAATAACAAAATAACTTTATAACTTAAAACAAAACTGGGTGATCAATCAGTGATCACTGTCAGCCTCTCTCGGCTTTTATTAACACTAATCTTTTTAAAGCTCAGTTTTTAAAACCTTACGATGTAAGTACAGCCCAGCCCATACAGCAGTATATGAATGACTAACCTGGTATTGTGGATGGATTATCTCAGTTGTTCTCCTGGCTGAAGTTTGGTCTGTTTACAGCATCCTGCCATGCGATTACATTTGTTCCTGACCACCAAGAATCCTCACGTTAACTTTTATTGAGTTGAAAAAAGCGTGTTTATATTATGCTCATATAGCCATGTCACTAGCGGTCACGTAGCACATCGTTATATACCAGCTAGCCAAACTTAAGTAACCCTACAAACGTCAATGCTGTTTAGTTTTCTGTCTTCATTTATGTCGGAGCTGTACGTTTGAATTTGTTTCCAAAATCCCTCAGTCAGGACATGCTATATTACTGGCATTATTAATATTTAGAAGGAAGCTAGTGAGCTAACTTCCTGCTAATTTCTAACTCCGTTAAATGTCATAAATTCCGTTTTCATGGATGCCTGGATGTTAAAATGAGTTGTTACACCTGGTAGAGCAGAACGCTGATCATTTTATTACAGATGAAAGACTTAAGACAGTTTTTCAACTCTCGGTGATGCCACAGTGATTGTTTGATTTATGGACCCACACTGGAGTTGAGCCCAGACAAGGCTAGTGACGTCAGACTTAAAGACCAGGGCCATCAGTCAAACAATACTGTTTGGTCTGGGTCTAAACAGAGCGCGTTGTGTGTAACATAGAAACATCAGTTTCTATGGGCCGAAGGTTTTTTTCTTTTTTGTAACGGTATAAACAATGAAAGGTGGTGGATTGGCCAGATGGTGGCCGATGTGTAAAAATAAGTCAGTTGTTTGGTGGTGGCTATGGCGGAGCTTTCACAGAGGCCAGCAGGTGGAAAGGGGAGGCAGGAGAAGGAGAGACCCGAGGCGGCCGCTGTGTCCAAGTGTCAGGTGAACTGACACTTGGACTGACACTAAGAAGTTATGAACTGCAGTCTATCTGGGTCAGATATAAACCAAGTTTAGGTGGAGTTTATTCTTTGCAGAAAAGTTTGCAGAACTACGAACGCAGCTGGAATCCACAGCTGTGCGTGTTCATGGAGCTTGCATTTTCACCTGCTGGACATCACTACCTGACAAGGTTAACTGTCTTCAGAACATTGCAGAGGCCTTGACAGTAATTGGTTCTACATATCTGTGTGAGCAGATTTTCTCTACACGAAGAGTGTCCTCAGGTCTGAATGCTGGACACTCGGAGACCAGAGATCACATTAATATGTGTATTCCTGTATTAACAAACATGCCATATTGGCCCAGTTTATTTTTCTTATCATTGTTGTGAGGAGACCACAAATAGCATTTGCACTTTCTGTTGTACAGTTCATTTGCTGTTATGAAGTTCTTGTTATGGATAAAAAGTTTCTTTTTTTGTTTCAAAATAGCTGATAACTATTCGCTGATAGTTGCAAACATCTGTGAACAAATATAGTTCTATAAAGTTGTTTTATATAGTGTGTGACTGTTAATATAAAGCATTATTAAATTTATTGCTAATACATCATATGGCACATTGACTTCTGAGAAAATTTTAGATGGCACTCATCATCAGAAAGGTTGCCTATCCCTGGTTTATAAGATTGGGGAAACCTGCAGTCATCTGAGACTGAAGAAGTCACTTGGATGAGTGACAAAACGTTTCTCCCACTTTAAAAGCTACGTCCAGATTAAGAGAACCAACTTTTGGAGATACACACAGAATAGTTTCCTATATGAGATTGGTGCAAAAAGTGCAGCCTTATCTAATGTCCATCCTACTGTTACTCATTTTATATTAAGATTTAAAAATCTAGTTGGTACTGTTATGGTGAGTAACCTTCAGTAATAGTTATTAAATCACAAAGCAATAGTACATTCATGTAGTTGTAAAAAGCATGATAATATATTAAGTACTCCAAAGTATTCAGAATACATTACTTTCATTGAGTAACATAACAGAATACATTACAAAATACATTTTGGGGCAAGTATTCTGTAATCTGTAGTGGAATACATGATAAAAGTAACCTTCCCAACACTGTTTATAGTTTAAGTTCAATGAAGCGAGACACAATTTTAACCAAAAATCCAGAAAAAAATCCCCACATTACATAAAATTATAAATGGATTTTCATATAATTGAGTTAAGTATGCATTTGAATCCCTACAATCTAGATAAAATTCTGGCTCCCAGAGATTAGATTACAATCAATTAATCAGTTTCAGAAACAGATACAGACCACCAATCAATTACAGATAGTCAGCTTATTATGTTTATAAAGCACACTTGCCCACAGAATAAAAAATCTTTAATTCCAACTTCTTCCACTACCATGGAGAAGACCAAAGAGCTGTCAGAGTTTGTCATGAGCAAGACTGTAGATCTGCATGTGGCTCAAATGACCATCAGCAAGAAGTTAGATAAGAAGGTGACAACAGCTGGTGCAGTTAATTAGATATGGAAGAAAGGCCATCAATCACCCTCTATCTGGAGCTCCATACAAGTTGTTGTCTCATGGGGTGAGGAGGATCATGAGAAAGATGGGACATTAGCCCAAAACTATGAACTTGTTAATGATGTGAAGGCAGCTGGAACCACAGTCACCAAAAACATAATTGGTAACACACTGCACTATATTGGACAGGTCTGGCATTGCCTACACCTGCTCACCCTGCTCAAGACAGCCTTGAACATCTAAATGTTTCAGAGAAGACTTAGGACAAAGTGCTGTGGTAGGATGAAAACAAACTCAAGCTCTTTGGCATCAACTTGTCACACCGTGTTTGGAGGAAGCAAAATACTAAATATCACCAAAAGAAGGTACAGTCAAGCTACAGGACAGGCATAGACATCACGTCGGATCATCTGGTAGTCATGCTGTGGAGCTGTTTTTATGCTAATGGATGACTTCACTATATTAACAAGCCAATAGGCTGTAAAATTTTGGATTAGAGCGTCCTTCTCTCAACCAGAACACTAAAAATGAATCATGGATCACGGGGCGATCGTGGCTCAAGAGTTGGGAGTTTGCCTTGTAATCGGAAGGTTGCTGGTTCGAGCCCCGGCTTGGACAGTCTCGGTCGTTGTGTCCTTGGGCAAGACACTTCACCTGTTGCCTACTGGTGGTGGTCAGAGGGCCCGGTGGCGCCAGTGTCCGACAGCCTCGCCTCTGTCAGTGCGCCCCAGGGTGGCTGTGGCTACAGTGTAGCTTGCCATCACCAGTGTGTGAATGGGTGGATGACTGGATATGTAAAGCGCGTTGGGGTCCTCAGGGACTAGTAAAGCGCTATATAAATACAGGCCATTTACAATTTACCATGGATGAGTCTTCCAGCATGACAATGACCAAAAACACAGAATCATGACAACAAAGGAGGGGAGAAAAGGAATCAGCTGAGGAAGTTGAAGCTTTGAGTTGCCAAGAGGCAACCAAGTAACCTAAGGACATGTGCAAGTTTCTGCATAGAGAAATAGGCCACAATCCCTCCTTTGATGTATGCAAACCAGGTGACCAACTACAGAAATGTCCTACTTTTGTGCTTGTAAACAAGGGTTTATTTATCAAGTACTGAATCATATTTTTCTCCTGGACACAGTTTGCATTTCACCATGTGCTTTTGTACCATTGCAATCAGTAAATAAATAGTGTCCACAATTTAGCTATAGACCAAACCACAATTTTCTTCCTCCTGCACAAGAAATTATTTAACTTGCGCTGCAATTAGCTGAATCAGCTCAGAGCAAAGGAATAAAAGGGCATATTTGATTGTTGTTGTTGTTCTTCTTCTTCTTTCTGTCCTACCAGTGTGCAGAGACCTGAAGAGCTTTTGTACTAAAACTTTGTAATAAATACAATCCACCCACATACATGCCAACCCTCCCGATTTTTTCCGGGAGAATCCCGAATTTCAGTGACCCTTCCGAAAATCTCCCGAGCAACCATTCTCCTGAATTTCTCCTGATTTTCCACCCGGACAACAAAATTGAATCAGTTCGGCTGAGATTTAAATTATTAGATTAGATTAGATTAGATTAGATTAGATTAGATTAATCCCTCAGGAGGGTTCCTCCGGGGTTTTTAGACAGCTGAATAAACGTCAAACAGAAAACGTAATAAACAGAAGTGTGAGATGGTTGAGAATTTATGCCAGCGTCTGGTTTATTTTAGATAGCAAGGAGTAGATGGCAGAGTTTCACACCACCGAGAGAGCTCTTTTATCCGATAAATTAACACTGTAAAGTACCAGTTTTTTGTATATAAATGTATATGTATACCACTTTCTGAGGTCTCAAGTTTGGCAAGTATGCACCAGGGGTGAGAGGGAGTTTCTTTTTTTTTTTTGCTTGATTGTTTGTTTTTATACAATACTAAAAAATACATAAACAATTTTTAAATGGACTTTATCATGAATTAAATGACCCTTCTGGGATATTGATCTGATCGCAGGTGGGTTTAGCCAGTTTCAGTCTGAGGCTTTAAGAAGAACGTAGCACTTTTTAGACACTTCTTTTTTGTTAGACTGCAAAATCAGCACTGTCTATTAACGTTACTGATGGGTAGGACCAATAACATTAGTTGCTATCTGAATAATAACTTAAGTTAAACTGAGAACATTAATGTATCCACTGGCCAAGTTAACAGTTACCATAACTGTTTAGTATTTTAGTGTTGTGTTGTTGGAATGCCCATCTGCAATGTTGCTCTATGAAGTTGTGTCACACCTAGAGGAGGTAAAGAAGGCACTATTGGTATTGCTACTGTTATAAATAAGCATCCAATTCAATAATGGGTTTTAGTATCCATTATTATCCAAAAATGTTTTTTTTTCACAACTTTGCTCTGGAGGCACCATTTCCACATAAGGCTGCATACTGAAACAGAGTTATCCTAAAACAGGTTGTACCATGTTCTGTTCCTTTGTTCTGCTTTTAATCACATTTTTGTGCAAATTAGATGGAACATTCTAATGGACTACTGTTACACCACACCTTCTGGAAATCCTAATGATGACCTGCGTTACGATCTTTTCTTTAGGTAACTCCAGTACAATAACAGGCCCATGATTGTGTAAAACTCTGACTCCGACTATCCTTGACAATGTTTTAATAGTCTTTTCTAATGTTGCTTTTCTGAACTAGTTGTGAAAAAGACCCCCAGACCACAGTGTTTGAGAATGGGAAGAGCCAGATGGGTCGTTTTGCCTTTGAAGTATTCCGCTTTGTAAAGCACAAGAACCAGAAGATGTCCACTGTCTTCCTACACTGTGTCACCAAGCTGTGCCGAGCAGATGATTGTGCAATGCTGATGCCAGTGAGATTGGATACTGACACACTCACACATAAAAAAAAATCTTGAGATAAAATATAACACAATAATCTTGTTAGAGTCACCTTCATTTCAAAATGGAAAACTCCATTGACATTATTATTATTATTATTATTATTATTATTATTATTATTACTTAGGTTAAAATACGTAAGCTCATTTACAAATTCTTAAAAACAATTGGGAAATACTTCTACTGTACATTCTTTTCCATTACAGTTTATACCTCTCATAGTTTTTTATATTCACTCTACATTCAAAGGGTAAGTATACGTTTATTTGAATTAATAAATACTAGTTCCATTATGTTTTCCTACAAAGCATATACTGCATCATTGCATCTAATTTAATATTAATTATAGAAATAGTTTATTTCTTGAATATAAACATCAGCTTCACTTCAGCATTCATAAATTCAGTTCTTCAAGTATAGTTAGGTGCTCATAGAAACATTCCTTGTAATCACAATGGGCATTTCGTAAAGCATCTGTATGTGATAAAGGATTCGTTACAAAGCAAAGTTCATTGTAATAAATTTGCTGGAGCTAATCTGATGCTTCAGTATACAGTGTTAGATGAATGTCCACCTCTTCTCACCGCAACCAATCGCAGCAGATGACCGCCCCTCCCTGAGCCTGGTTCTGCTGGAACTTTCTTCCTATTAAAAGAGAGTTTTTCCTTCCCACTGTCACTAAAGAGTTGCTCATAGAAGCAATTAGTTGACCAGATTACATTCATATTTCTTCAGACTAAGTGACTGTCTGACTTTCCAAACAGACTGAGATTTCCAAATGGTCCTTCCATAGAGTCTAACAGACAGCAGTACCATTATTGAACAGTGGTGAGGGCACAGCAGTTACAAGATATAACAGGTTATTAGCCTACATTCCTCATTTTTCAGACAGTACGATGTCTTGAAAGACACCTGAGCATCTAGATTTCATGTTTCACCATGAATCATCATGGAGCATTGTGGAGCGACTAGAGTGGAAGAAAACAGGTCTACTTTATACAGATGACAAGCTGAGATCAACAGTAGTTGTAACTGAATGATTGATTAGTTCTGTGTCTCCCCATTATACAATAATAAAACTACCAAAAATATTAGAGACTGTTCATTTGAGCAAAGGGGATCAAATCATTATTTCCCTCACTGCAGAATAAGGGGTTAGATATTCCTCCGATATCAAATTGGACACATATCTTGGCAACATCGATGGGTTATATTAGTAGTCTGTGTCCTGAATTCCTCATCATAAGAACATACACCACATGAGAGAGGACTCATTCTTTCTGTGTAATATTTTCATAGATCTGTGGCAGCAGGAAAAAGAGAGATGTCTCTGATGGAAAGGGATCAAATGCTGCATCTGGAAACGCCATCCTGACTGCTGGGCCTATCATAACTCGGAGTGGTATAGTTTAATAACACTCTCGCCTAACATTTCCACAGCTGAATAATTTTTACTGATTATCCAATGTATTACAAGACACTAATGTATGTCAAAATCCAAGATTTGACACCTAAATGTTGACTAAAGTTGCAAGCTTGTCTGGGTGACCTAGGATTTTCAAAACAGTACGTTAGACAAGGCATCCTTGTCTATCGTACTGTATACACGCGAATGAAAGAAACTATATACCATATGGATTACAGTGTGCTGAAATGCCATGTCTTTGTTTTTCACAGATGAAATACCAGCCAATAATTCTCAGCTGGGTAAGTCTTGTCATTCTGTTCAATAAGTGGTATGATGCTTTTGTGTGTTGTTCTACTTTTAAAGGTTATAAGATATTTGTGTTTTCACTGGGAGAAACATTTTCACTCATCCAAGTGACTTCTTTAGTCATAGCTGACTGCAGATTTTCCTACCTTATAAAAAGGACTAACTAACGCACTACTAACTAACAATGGGCTGTAATATCAATTTTATAATCATTAACATGCAAATTGTTATGACTAGGGATGGGTATCGAAAACCGGTTCTTGTTGAGAACCGGTTCCCACTGTTTCAATTCCTTGGAATTGTTTGCCATTTTTGCAAACGATTCCCTTATCAATTCCAGTTGCCCCGAATGACGTCACCACGTTGCGGAGCGTCATTTACCTGGCAGGAAACATGGCGGCTCAAATGCTCAAAAGTTTGATTATACTTTACGAGAACGGATGACAACAGGGCAACTTGCAATACTTGCAAAGTAGACATTTCATTTAAGGGAGGAAACACTACGAATATGCAAAAGCATTTGCTCACAAAACACACGATGACCTTAAATGAATGTCGTGTTTTTAATTCCGCTCCGGACTCGTGAAATCCAACCCAGCAGCAGCGGTAACGTTTGCACGTCCTCTCCCGTTAATGCGGCAGGTAAATAATCAACTAACAGTGCATATTATGTTAGTGCGATCTGCCTTATTACAAAACCTGCCATTACTGTGCGCTGCATTTAGGTGATCATGATGAGAGAGACAGACAGAGTCTGGCTGGCTCAGATGCTGGCAGTTCTCGCTGCAGTCTACTGGTAACGTCTCCTTTCAGGCCAGGATAGACGAATGTCACCGTGCAGTGACTAAGTTTGTGGTAAAAGGCTTGCACCCATTTGCCACAGCAGATGGTAAGTGAATGTGTTTAATTGTAGGCAGGAACATTACTGGATATTCTTGTGTAATTGCTACAGAATAATTGATGTTATACTTTGTTATTGCTACAGAAGAATATTTATTTTATTATTTTACATTTACAATTTTTTTTCCTGGGGACCCTGTGATACCCCATGGAAGAGCCATAGGCTGGATCTCTTAAGATCTCACTGTTGGGTTTGTAAGGCCATGTTACTCCTAAATTTCTATCTCGTTCAAAGAGAAGCTATAAAACAAAGTTCTAAGCTATTCGACCTTAGTGTTCTCCTTTCTAAAAAAGAATCAATAAGAGAATCGATAAAGAATCAAATCATTAAACAGAATCGAAAATGGAATCGGAATCGTGAAAATCTTATCAATATCCATCCGTAGTCATGACCCTTGATCGCTGGCCATGAGTACCATTAGAAGATTTCCAGCATGTTTGGAATCACAGCATTGTATGGTACATCTTTTACCATTTTACAATGCTACAAATGCATTATGAGCTGGTGAAACCTGCAGCCAGCTGAGACTGAAGAAGTCTGGATGAGTGATGAAATGTTTCCCCAACTGAAAATACTATGTCCAGATGAACAGAATCAAGCTTTGGGATTTCCTTAACTGGATGATTCCACAATAATCTAGACAGGAACATAGCAATATATGCAGCAATATATGACACACTATGTGAGTTACGGCCGGCAATGATCATCAATGTTCAAAAATTTTGGTCTGTTAGAAGTCAGTCTATATGGCTATGCAATGCCTGCGCATACTATATTCCTCAGGATTCATTTTATTGTTCAGCCAGTATATTGCTTTAGTTGTTATTGAAAATCAAATACTGAGCCGGGATGTCTCAATCTGACATTAAAAGTTGTGTCATTTCTCATTGGAATGGCAAAAAAGGTATTAGTGTTTTAACACTCACTGCTATTTGGCATTTTGCATGAACTTAAGAAAAAGCATTGAGAATGTGAAAGACATTTTTACATTTTGGAATGTTTCTTTGTGTTTGTGCTGCTTAGCCCATCTTAAAGCTCCAGTGTTTCACACAAATACAATGACCATCGCACTCATCTCAGGCATGATCATTCTGGGTGTCATGTGCCTATGCTTCTTCATCATGTCCCTCACCCTTCTGAAAGGCAAGAGCGCTCCAGTCGGCACCCTGTCAGGAGTCCGAAACCTAACCTTCAACTGAGTACCTGAACTCACACATTTCTCATCAGTTCAATGCTAACCAAGAATGCAGAACACACGCTGTCTGTGCATGTGGGCATCAAAGAATTTAACTGTTGAAAAAAAATACCTGTTACCAGGTCTGTACAATGAGTATTAGTGCAGGAGTTAAGTAAAACTGGGTTTTGTGTTCCTATCGCACAAAAAGCTAAGCCTCAGCCTGCATATTTTTCATGCAGCTTTAACCCATTAGTGGGGATACTAAAAACTTACTGCAATACCTCAGCTATACAGTTTTCATTGCAGGGTACGGGATCAATTATATGGCTTGCAGTGCATTATATAGTGTATAATAAACATAGCATTTCCTGAGAGAAATGATAGATATTAGAGAGATAGATTTACTTAATCATTTATTAGGAGGTTTTTTTCCCCTAAATATGTATTTCCATCGCTTGATTTAAATATTTTTAGTTACTGTGTTAGCAATAAACTTGATTGTTAAGGATATTTTGTACATGTGCTACCTTATGTATAACTTTTCCTGATATGTGGTTAAAATGCAACTTGATTTGTTCACGAAATGTACAAATTGTCTTCAAACGTCCATGTTGCTAATACTGCACCTTGACTTGTTATTAAAACATACCCATTTGCATATTTCTAAACATAAACTATACATTGCCTCTTAAACACTACTGTGGGATTACAAGAATTGATAAATGACTAGCATTGATATAGCTTGTATTTTTACACTACAATCCACATTTATCCATTCATGCACGCATACATGCACTGCTTGGTCAGATCATACAACACTACTATCCAACACACACAGACACATGAACATCAGGTGAGGTGGAGATTGGGGGTGAGCAAGCAAATGTAAATTTCTGCATTACTAATATACAAACCTGATGTAAAATCAGTTTGATTCCTTATCATAGTCCTTAATAACCTCAAAGACCTCTTTGCTTCATGGAGGGGCTTAACTTCCTCTGGGATCATTTATCATTTTACTGTTTCTTTTAATTTTTATAGAAAACCTAAAGCTAATATAACAGAATAGAATTCATTAAAACATTTTGTTTTGTATATATGGATAATTTTATTTAAACGCTTATGTTCCTGTACTGTGCATCCATGAAACGTAAGACGATTCGATCTGCGTCATTTCCGTCTTGCATTTATTTACTTTCCAGCTCTTTGAAACATCATGGCAAAATGTCGAGGAAAAACACCAAGTTTTTTAAATGGACTAACAATGAGGTGGAATTGTTGCTGCGAGTAACACAAGAGTACAAAGTTGGAAAAGCAAGCGTGAATATAAACTGGGAGACGTACCACAACAAATATGCCGAAATTAACATTCCGTCTTCTTTGAAGAAAAACGTGAAAATGTGGAGCATGTACAAACTTATATTAATCTTTAATAGCGCTATGAAAAATGGGGGAAAAACAAAACTGCTGTACAATGCCATACACCATCTTAGTTGATTGGTTACATGACTGCATCATATGACTAAAATGCGTCATCGTTTTCAAAAGCCTCCGTTTTCGCAATCCACACTGCAGTGTGAAAACAGTGTTTTTAAATTCATCTACAATTTCAAAAAGATCAGTTTTCCTTGACCAAAGAAGCCATCTCAGTGTGCACGGAAGGACAAAACAGAGAGAAAAATATGCGTTTTCAAACGAAAACGTATTAGTGTGGACATGGCCTTAGGCCTGTGAAATACTGGTGACCTTTGAGGGTGTATCTTAAATTTCACCCCATAACAGCTGGGATAGGATCTATCCCAACTGTGACCCAATTCAGGGTCACAGTATTTCTTTTCATAATGCCTATTACATTAATAGTAGGGGGCTATTCCAGAAAGCATGTTCATCAAACTTTGAGTTTGAAAGCAAACTCTAAGTTGATAAACTGTGAGATTGACAACTCTGAGGTTACGTCCACATGTACCCGGGTATTTTTGAAAACGCAGATTTTTCTATGCATTTGCACCTTTCGTCCACACGTAAACGGCATTTTCGGTCACTGAAAACGGAGATTTTTAAAAACTCCGGCCAGGGTGGATATTTTTGAAAACTCAATTTTTGCATTTTGCGTGTGGACAAGAAAAACGGAGAAAATGCAGCGTCAAAGGTGTGCGCATTTTTTGACGTCACACTGTGCGCCACGTTATTGTTTCAGTGAAATGATTTTCTACAATACTGTTACTGTTAATTGTACTCTCTGCAGTGTTTAAATGCTTACATATACACACACAGTTACTGTCCCTCCACACATATGACTGGGTTCTGCTTCTATGCCCCAGCTTTGTTTACTTTTTCCCACCGAGGCTTCTAGACTTCTGATTGGCCAACATTTCTGCACAGTTAGCAATATATCGCCACCTGTTGCTTTGGCATGTTCCTAGCAGCGTTTTCCTTCATTTCTGCCTTTACGTGTGGACGGGATTCTTTTTTAAAACGAAAACGGAAAATCTCCGTTTTCAAAAATACCCGTGTACGTGTGGACGTAGCCTGAGTTATTTGAACATACTCTGATCTGCTGTTCTAGAACAGCAAACTCAGAGTGTGTTCAAGCTGATTTAAGCTAGAGCATGAGGAGTGAAAGAAAGTCATTCTCCATGGAAAACCGATACTAGGATTCACCATGGCAACGGGTAAAGAGCAGAGCATTTCAATTTATGGTATAGTTGGATATTTCAAGATTTCAAGATATTTCAAGACATTTTAAATAGGAATACAGATCATAAACATAAAAAAAAAACCTTCTATGAATAGATCCAGATGTGATCAGCTGAGGAATGGCTGGAGTCTAATTGATCTGGGATTGATGCGGTCTAAATCTGTGATTTAAAATAAGATCCACTTTGGATCCAGACACAGTTTACTGATCTGTTACAGACCCTATGATTTCGTCAAGTTGATCTGGTTCTGGTTTGAACCACCCAGACTGATTTCAATGATTTTCAGTGAAAAATATCTCAAAGCTCAGACTCTAAAATTCAAATACTGTACCTAAATCTGTGAACACATTTCAAAGTGAAATTTTGGGAACACAGATTGTCTGCAGGCTGCATTTAAAACATTAGTTTTTGTTTAATGTTAGACTCTTAAAGTCATCATCTCCAAGATCCAATTGTGACAGACATTTTTAGGTCAGTGTAACTTATTATAATAAGATAAACAATTGATCAATGTGTAACATACAGTAAATATTTTCGGTACAAAGGGACAACATCAGATGGAGTCTTTTAGATTTTATTCTGAGCTGATAATAAATCTGTGATGTAATCGCTGTCCTTATGTATTGACAACCAAATGGAGTCTGTTATCCTGGTAACTCACTAAGAGTTGAAGTGAACTCTCTTTCTGAAACAAGAAACCTGAGTTTCCACCGTCTCAATTTTAACAAACTCAGAGATGTTAGCTAGACCTCCTTTCTGGAATAGGACGGTTTTATCTATCAAAGGTGGAGTGCTGCACAAGCTTCCCCATTGGTCCCGCCTCCGGGTCTAGTTGGCTCCGGGGGTGGGGGTGGGGGGAGGGGGGTAGAGGAAGAACATTATATATATGTAGTATATACATTGAGTGAATGTGCAGTAGTAGCAGCAAGCAGGTGAATTCTGTACATTAATAAGAATAGAAATCTGACTATTTTACAGAATAGACAATATAAACATATTTAAAATTAAAGGAATTTGAAATGTACATTGTGCCTGGGTCTAGAGTGTCTGGAAGAGAGTCCTGTCTCAGTCAATTATAGATGATGTGAGAGGGCGGGTGTGTGTGTGTTTAGGGCCTGGATGGCTTGGGGATAGAAGCTCCTCTTGAGTCTCTCTGTCCTTGCCCGGATGATGCGGAACCTTCTACCAGATTGCAGAAGTTGGAACAGTTTGTTGCCAGGATGGGAAGGGTCCTTCAGTATCTGCGCTGCTCTAGTCCGGCATCTCCTGGTGTAGGTGTCCTGAAGCGGGGGGAGAGCAATCCTGCAGCAGCGTTCTGCTGTACGGATCACTCTCTGGAGAGCTTTTTGGTCCTTCACACAGCTGTTCCCAAACCACGATGTCATGTTCTGTGTGAGGATGCTCTAAAAGTCGAGACGAGACCAAGACCGAGACAAAAAGTCTTTAAACTGCAGCCAGATGCTGCTTCATTTACGGGTGTCAGACATATTTATGTGTTTTTGCGATGCACTCACACAGCCCTCCTCACCGCTGTCTACTGTCTCACTCACTTACTGAGAGGACAGACGCACGCTCCACTTGACTGTCGCGTCTCTCACCCTCTCTGTTTGTCACATAATGATTTTATCCTATATCCTCACATGTGATTGGCCACAATATGGAGGGATTGGAGCATAGCTGAGCCACTGTGTGAGAGCTGACCAGTGAAAGGAAATTAAGTGAGGAACCGGCTCTCGTTCAATGGGAGTCGACTCTTCTGATTCACTACAAAGCACTCTCTAAGCACGGCTCTTAGAGCTGATGCTTTTGCATGACACATTATCAAACATTACGTTCTGTGTCATGTATACTGTTGAGTCCAAATCTCCCGACCACTATGTCGATCTGAGACAGCAAGGCGGAGACAGCGAGACCAAGACAAGACCAAGGGATCCAAGACCAAGACAAGACCAAGACCACGTAAAAGAGACCGGTCTTTCTCTTTTCTGCTGTGACTCTCCTTCCTTTAGGCTGGTTTTCTCCCAAACCGTTTGCCCTGCAGACACCGCTGTCATGCCAAATCGACCAGCACAAACGTGCCTACAAAACAAACACATTTTTGTTACTGTACTTTCTAGTTTTTCATTTATTTTCCAAAATATCACCAAAAATATGTGTGAGAACTACAGTGAGGTTAGAGTAAGAAATTTTTTTTTTTTTTTTAAATTTCCCACTCGTCCCCTGTGGGCGGTCAATCCTTCAAGCTCGGGTCCTCTACCAGAGTCCTGGGAGCTTGAGGGTCCTGCGCAGTACCTTAGCTGTTCCTAGGACTGCGCTCTTCTGGACAGAGATCTCCGCTGTTGTTCCCGGGATCTGCTGGAGCCACTCGCCTAGCTTGGGAGTCACCGCACCTAGTGCTCCGATTACCACAGGGACCACCATTACCTTCACCCTCCACATCTTCTCAAGCTCTTCTCTGAGCCCTTGGTATTTCTTGAGCTTCTCGTGTTCCTTCTTCCTGATGTTGCTGTCATTCGGAACCGCTACATCGATCACTATGGCCGTCTTCTTCTGTTTGTCTACCACCACTATGTCCGGTTGGTTAGCCACCACCATTTTGTCCGTCTGTATCTGGAAGTCCCACAGGATCTTAGCTCGGTCATTCTCCATCATCCTTGGGGGCATCTCCCATTTTGACCCCGGGACTTCCAGGTTATACTCGGCACAGATGTTCCTGTACACTATGCCGGCCACTTGTTTATGGCGTTCTATGTATGCCTTGCCTGCTAGCATCTTACACCCTGCTGTTATGTGTCTCTGGAGCATCTTTACACAGCCTGCACCTGGGGTCTTGCCTGGTGTGATAGACCCCAGCCTCAATGGATCTTGTGCTCAGAGCTTGTTCCTGTGCTGCCATGATTAGTGCTTCCGTGCTGTCTTTCAGTCCA